CAATACTTACTTTAGTTAAAACTCAGTTTATCTTACTTTTTCATTGGCTCTTATACCCTGCAGACAGACTGTCAACAGCTGCCTGAGATGTTTAAAATCCATCATGGGGAGATGAGCCTATGTAGTCAGAACAGTACTGTCAATCTAAATATCTGTTAGTGTCCAATATTTCAAATTACACAAATATAGTAAAGCAAATATACTGAGACTTTCCTCTCCTACTTTGTCTCTAGAGGTGTGATACCAGATGAAGGTGTTGGTGCGCTACGCATGGAAGATTGGATGCTTTGCATCTTTCCCTTGGGTGACTCAGAACCGAATTTCTGTGTTGCTGTGTTGGTCAGCTTCAGCTTGCTGGCCAACTAGAAAACTTCACACACACAAAAAAAAAAATAAAAAAAATTCCGATTCCTTGTTTCTCCAGTTTGCCATTGCTCTGAAAACGGAACCACAGCTTACAGATTCACCAGCCAAACACTGGGCAATAAGTTCACTGGAGAAAGGAAACAGGGTACCTCAGTCATTCACTCATCCCGCTCACCATTTCCTACAAAGCTGAGTAAGGAGATCATGGGAAACTATTTTTAAATGTAGCTTCCTCTGTGTTGTCCTCTCTTCAGAATTAGAGCTAAGAGTCCAATACAATTAGAAAATTGTCCGTCCAGAGCACAGCTACCCATTACTGTGGCTGCACTCTCAGACCTCGCTGCTCTCAGTGACACAAGTAGGGCATACAAACGCGATGCTGTGAGATCTCTGCTTACCACTGCAAGCAGCAGAAAGGCAAGAATCAGTGTCAGTGCAGTCGGCCCAAGGGGGTTTCTGACAGGGCTAGCAACTGACCCTAGAAGATTTTGGTCCTAGGTTAGCTTGGAAACCATGTATTTAGTGTTCTTTTTGGTTAAAGGAAAAAAAAAAACAACTTTGTTAGCTCTAACCCTACCCTGGTCACTCTAGAGCAACCAAACTGACTCAAGGGTTGCTAAGATCTATTTTTGGATTGGTCACATGCAGATGAAAAACTTCCTGTAATACAATTTGAACTTTCAGGCCTAAGATTCAGCAGAATGAGTAAGTCTGTTCAGCTGCTTACCTGTGAAAATCAGAGCAGAGTTGGCATTTGGTGAATTTTACTATGGGCAGCTGCGATTGTGGAGACCAGTCACAGCTACTGAGCAGCAAGAGCAGCAATTTGTCCAAGGTGGTCAGTTTAGTTTTTAAATTTCCAAGGCAGCAACCCTATACAGCACTGCTTATTTAAACCTGCCAGTCAGCACCTGACCTAAAGTGCAAACACAGAGGTGAAACCAGGTAGATTAAATACCTTTCATGTGCTTGCACGGAAGTTTCTGCCTTGTCTTTGTAGTTGAAGAGTTCTAGTGATTCCTGTGCACCCACTGCAGGTCTGAGCCTTCCAGATCCACTGTGTTTCCTGAGCGCGGGCGCAGCACGGTCACTGTGTGTTCCCAAGCAGCCCCTGGTCACTACAGCAGATGAAGAAAGGGCTTGCTGCTGTCAAAACTACTCACATACCCAGCTCCTAGCTATTCTCCTTTCCCAGGGCGAGCAAGCTGTATCATGCTGGCCTGCCACAGCAATTCATCCAGCCCTACAGCATGCTCCAGACAGCTCTCTCCCACAGGCAACTTGCTCAAGCGGTGCCAGCCTGTTTGCGGGTCCTTGCTAAAAATGGTAGTTGGGAGCAGGCAGCCGCCCTTGTCAGACTAGTTCTCCTCACCCACAGCTCCCCAGCTCCCAACGGGAAAGCGGGCAGGCTTGCAAACAGGGACCCAGCACAGCCACTGCTGCCTCTGCTAGTCCCATAGCAGGACAGAAGTCTGGCAGGGCTTGTTGAATCATGGTGGGCACGTAGGCACAGCAGTCTCGCTTTACTGGCTGGGAGTCATGACTCTGTGCTTACAGGGCAGGGATGAGATCACTATCGGCTCTTCACGTTGGCACTCATGGTGGGTATGTCAGCCCCTGCCCCGTGAACACTTTTCTAGCAGTGCTGGACAAGCAAGTTTAGCCGCTGATACGGTAAGCAGATTTCTAGCTCACAGGAGGGGGGATCATTCCTGATATTTATCAGAGGAGAGAATTTTAGGAAATCTCATTCCGATTTCAGTGACATACTGGATGACAAAATGAGTATTTAAAGTACATAATTCTTTTCCCTAGAAAAGAAATCAATCTTTTTCTAAGAAAGCTGGGGATGGCAAAAATCCATCCTTCCTGATGCAGAGGGAAGAAACAAGCACAATGCCAGTTTCAGAGCAGTCGGCCTGGGCAGGTGCTACAGCAAGTTAGAGACAATTTTGTGGGAGCAAGGAGAAATCCAAATGAAGAACACCAGGAACTGGATACAATTTAAGCAGGAATAGAGATTAATAGGTTTTATGTATTTGTGAGGTTAACTACCCTCCCTGGCTTATTAGCAGCACATTTCAGAGCTTGGACTGGGACAGCCACAGCCAAGCTGCAAACCCCATTATGTGAGCGGCACTGCCAAAAGCAAGGCTACCCGGCACGATGCAGGCTAGAAGCTAAGCCCTGGCTGCTGACAAACTCATTCGAATCAGGCTCATTACAGCGGTGGGGATAAAAGCCATGAACCCACTTGTATTGAACTACCCATTTTTCTTCCCTCTATATTCACAATCCAAAAGGAAAAGCAGAAACTTCTTCATGCGCTGCTGAGCAAGTGAAGAAAAGATTTATTCCCTGATAAAATAACAACGCACCACAGGATCAAAATGCAACCTTGGCATTTTTCCAGCTCTTAATCATGCGTCAAGGTTGCTACAAAACAACAGTTGCAGCCAGCTGAAAAAATCTGGCAAACAGATGCAGGGGCGAGGCCAGCATATCCCTGCCGCTCATCGCCTGTCGGGGGAGGCAGCCGGCCTCCTGACGGCCATCCCTGCGGTGGGCCCGCATCCTTCCTGCAGTGGCACGGCATCCGCACCGTAGTCAGGTAAGAGGTTGTCATGGTTTAACCCGGCAGGCAGCCAAAACACCCCCACAGCCGTTGGCTCACTCACCATCCCCAGCAGGATGGGGGAGAGAATTGAAAAGAAAAAAAAGGGTAAAACTTGGGGGCTGAGATAAAGACAGTTTAATAGGACAGAAAAGGAAGATGATATTAATATTAATATTAAATAAGTGATGCACAGCACAAATGCTCACTACCTGAAACCAATGCTCAGCTTGTTCCTGAGCCAAACCACCTCCCTGCCTATCCTCCAGTTATATACTGAGCATGAGGTGATACGGTATGGACTGTCCCTTTCACCAGTTTGGGTCAGCTGTCCTGGCCATGTCCCCTCCCAGCCTCTTGGGCACCACCCACCTACTTATTGGCCCAGCAGTATGAGAAGCTGAGAAGTCCGTGACTGCTTGGCAACAACTAAAACGTCAGTGTGTTATCAACGTTATTCAATCCAAAACTCAGCACCATACCAGCTGCTAGGAGGAAAATTAACTCTACCTCAGGACAGACGTGCCAAGTGCAGTTGTTCTGTTCGATGCTCCCAACTCACATGTGAGCTTATTGTAAACCCCGTGCAGAGCCTTGAGCTGTAACCCTGTGATGGGCTTGGCATGAGGAGGCTGCTGCCAGGGGACCGTGCCAGCAGGTTCCCACGGTGCCACCCAGCCGCAGCTCGCAGTGGGATGCAACCCAATACCATGATTCAAGTAAGGAGCAGGAGGTTGGGCTCTAATTGCCAGCCTGTGCTCTTTTCGTAGTAGTTATAGGTGTAAAATATGTGCCACATCAGAGACGGTGTAAGAAGTCTGTACAAGGAAGTAAAAAGCTGGATTGGAGTTGGTTTTTTCCTTCAAAAATCTCCAGTGCACTGAGTGCCACCTCCCCTACTTCTGAGCACAGCCACCTCTGTACTCACACCCACAGGCAAAAAGTCTTTGCAAGCAGATGGACAGATCCAGAGGCATCACCACAGCTAGCATGGCCACGGGCTGGCAGCTCAGCACCTGGCATGTTTTGCTGCTTAGGCAATAACTAGCTACAGTCCGTTTCACAAAACTGAATGTAAGCACCATCAAAAATAATGGCATACCTGCATGCACCATTAGCATTACTTCCTGACGTTAATCTGAAGTACAAGATAATATTCTAACTGTACATTTTCCATTTTATTGAAGGACTGCTTTATGACCCTGCTTCCCTCTTCCTTCTTTTTAGAGAATGAATGGAAAAAGCTTAATTTAGCACACAAATGCCAAGTGACAATGCTTTTATTAGGATGTGGCCTGCAACATCTTATCAGTGCTTGTTAATTTTTTCAAAATCTGAAAACACCATAAATTGGGGAATGAATTTTTTTGCACTGTACTTTGATCAGCTCAGTTATTTAATCTAAATTCTGTTTTTTCAGTAAACAGTTAAACTTTCTAAACATACGAGGAAGGGGCTCACTAAGGTTACTAGAGGCTAGATGCATAAGAGTTTGTAATAGAAATGGTTATGCAAAGAAGTGTGCTTGGCCCCATCCATCTCTATGCAATTTGCAACATTTGTTGACATCCTAGACATACTAATTCTATGTCTTTCCTCCTGTTCGGTGCTGTCCCACCTCGATGCTGCTCTTTCCTCACACAGAGCAGACAGCGTGGTTCAGGTATCAGCTGTGCTGTTAACGCAGTCATCCTACGGCTAATTCAAAAAAGCAGACATTTAGGTCTTGAAAAAGTATTCTCAGATGATTAATTATCTGAGACTCTACTGCCCAATAAACTTAACACTGCTTGGATAAGGAGGGAAAAGAAGTACAAACTCGCCTACCATAACCTAAATCTGATTTCCTGGAGTCTTTAAAGAACATAAGGTTTGAGCCCAATCCTATTTAGTTCCTGAGGTGTAAAAACATTATATTCACAGCTATGTCAGTAACTGGTACACATATTACAATACCTCTATGAGCTGCTCTGGTTCACTCCCTTCTTCCACGGTAATTAATTTAGACCTTCCATTTCGTTCATTGTCCCGAATGCCAACAGCAACTTGAGTAGCCTTCAGCCGCTCGTATTTATTGCATGATGAGCCACACCACTGATAGATTTCCTAAAATAATTAAAAGCACACACACATTAGCAATAAGATTCAACACCGAGCAAAATTATGAAATTAGTACTTTATTAATAATTATCTTACTGGATCTAAACCACTAGAACATTAGTGAAGCTACCTCTTTCAGAAATACTTTCCAGAAAAGATTTGCTAAGTCATCTAGATATTTGTAATATGCAAGATATTTACATAATGTAATTTAGCATCCACATACTAGGAGATCACTCGATCTCAGAATAGTCAGAGTTTTGGTTTGACTGAGTTTTATCCCAAATATAGATATATCTTCAGCTATCTAAAGAACCTGAAACTCCTAAATTTGCTAGTGCAAATTGGTTTTATTTAACATCTGGCAGTTCCTCTTCTATGCTACTTCAGCAGTGCTGATTCTCATCTGTGGCAAGAAACAAAGTAATTTCAAAATCTCAAGGAAAATTCTGCTTGTATCTGCTACTCAAAAGTAAAATTAGATCTTTTAATCCAGTTTTTATTTTGGTGACTTTCTGCTGTACAATGATATTTGTTGCATGCTCTGCTGCATCAAGCCACAAAACCAGCTCAAGTGGAAACGGATGACATCATAGGTGTTTTCAATACAAAGTCTTCTTCACCGGAAGACTTTTCCTCAGTGTGCAGTTGATCTAGTGCTCTTAAAAGTTTGTTAACCTCAGATTTATGCAAGCCCTTCCAACTGTAGTTATCTCGAATGTCTTTATAAATTACATCTAAAGACTTACAGATCAGGAATACACAGTTTTTTGGTCAGTTAAACCACCAAGTTCCTCCCCAGCAGAAGATGGACCCCTTTCCTGGTCCCCCTTCTTGCCTCACGAACGGAATAAAATACAAGAGACACACCTCTGAAAGATGCCTCCATTCAGGAAACGCAGCAGCTAGGAGCACGGTGCTGCCACAGGGGCAATCCGCCCCATTGCGGCTGTCACCTTCACAAGGGGCTCCTCTGACACTGCAGCAGCAGCTCTCCATGTTGATGAGCGAGCGCTCCGGTGGCAGCAGCCCACTCCTAGATACCATCTTACAGGCCCTCAAGGCTTTCCTCTCATCTGGCTGAATAGATAGTGAATGGGTATGCCCCACACATGATAGGGAAAGCACAATTCCACCAGAATGGAGCATGTTCCCAAGGCACCTCTCAGGAAGGAGGGCCACCAGAACCAGTCTAAGGTCACCTAACCCAGTCACACCACAGACCAAGGACCCCCAGTTTTGGCAAGTCCCATTATTTATCCTGAATGCAAAGCATTTCAGAATAAAGAATTTATATTTTGGTCGTGATGAAAATCACTAAGAAGCAGCAGAACATAAGCTGGAGAGCCGCTAGAGGCTGAGCTGGAAGGAGCTAGTCAAAGGAAATTAATCAGCCTCGCTGGCTGCTTTTTTTCCCGCTCCCTTCTTCTGTAAGAAAGTAATTTGATTCTGCTTCACATGATTCTATCAAATAGCCCAAATAGTACAGCAATAAAGCTACACAGTAATTTTCAGCTTTAAAAAAGGTTGAACTGGTTTGCGTTCAAGTACAGTGCAAATAACGAGGATTTAATCAGAGCCCTCACTGGGTAAATTACTGGGGTCTTAGTTTTATGATGTATATACAACTGTAGAAAACTTAGATTTTGAATGAAAAGCTGTTTCATTCAAAAAATGCTTTTTAAGATATTTCAGCTGACCATTATTGTTATTTAATAGCTCTTGAAATGGGGGCTTGAGACAAGCAGGAGATGAAGCTTCTCAGTACTAACATATGCAAACTTTTAGAAGACAGCTAACAATGTCACCTGCATGCAAAACCATGCTAGTATCTTCTGATGTTTACTTTTCACCAGCTTAGACACAAAAAAAATAAAACTCACTGATCTCATAGCCAAGTTCCCTTCCCTTTGGAAACATCCTTCAGAGACAAAGTTTTAAGCTTACATCAGGATTACACAGATTCCCAGAATTTTCAACTTGCAGATGTTAGGCAGTGAATGCTGTGATGTTTTCAGCTTGCCTTTACCAACTTGACTGTAGGCTTAAGACAAGGAAAAAAAAATCTGCTTACAAGTTCTGGTTTAAGTATTGTCAGCTTACTAAGTATCCAGAATCTGGAGACATACTTGGCTTCAGGTTTGAACCCTATCTTAAATCTGATTTTCAACATTTCCACAGGAAAAGAAAATATCTGTGCATACGCAGGGAAGCAGAATTTTCTAAAGTATTCATGAAAGACTGCCTTAAGTGTGTAGAAAGTCAAAAGTTTCAATATCTGAGCATTTTTTTCTTTAATATAGTTACTATAGCCATGCACTGCTTCGGCCATCTTCTCCCAAATTTTGGGAGACTTCCCAAAACACAGACTCCTTAGTTTCTGAGAATTTCAGCACTCAAACTTAGTCATTCTCCTCTTAGCCTACCTCCTACTAATTGAGCTTATTTGAAATTATGTGAGAAAACAGGAGTCACTAGAGATACAGCAGCAATAAATAGGAATTCTTTATTTCCCAGTCTATAGAAGCAATAAGGAAGAGGAAGACAATATATAGAGACAATTAGCTGAAGAGGTCAGGCAGCTATTGACACTGCAGTGTCAGCATACACTGAGGTGTGTATGCTGCGATTCATGGAGATTACTCGTTCAGAAAGGTTAAAAGTTCAGTTTTAGTTGTACGTGTCAGCCTTCTCTTGGACTTCTGGTAACTGGCCATGCAACCTCAAACAAGTATTCTCATCTACAAAATGAATAGTATTTACTGCACTGACCACAAAGGATATTGTGAGACTGAAACTGTCACTGCAAATTACAAAGACCTTTACTTCTCAGACAATAAGTTCACATTTTCTTTTCTTAGCATCTCCCAAAGGTCCCACCACACAGTGCACCCCAGCTACGCCTCATTCTCCCAGTTTGTCTTCAAGTCAGCAAGTGATTAAACTGAGCTCTCCTACAATCCCCTGGCTCTAGTTCTCAAATCAGCCTGATGAAGGAGAAAGACCTTTAAATTCTACAGTAATGGATTTCAGATTTTTTGATTTGCAGATTTCATTAGTTTCCTTACGGACTCCACAGTCCTCAACTACAGAAACATTCCCACAAAATAACGTGGCCTAAATACTTTTGTCCTAAACTAAAATAAATATGAAATTTCATTAGCCATAATCTTGAGAAACCTTGTGTGGTAAATGTTTTCTTCTGCCACATAAAAATACTTGAATGAACAAGCAATGTCTGAAAACATACTTGATCTGGAGTTCACATAGAGGAGCCATACCATTCCTATAAGCTCCATCTTCCCAGTTATTTGAAAAAATAATTATTTTAAAAGCTAGTGAAATAAGAATCTGATTCTTTTCGGCATTAGAGAATAAAGACAGTATTCTTTATTAAAATCCTGAAAGCTGAATTTCAGGTACTGTGTAATTTAATAGAAGGAAGTGAGCAGCCACAAGTCATGAAAATGTCCCAAAGTATACAATATTTTACTGTAGTTACTATAAGCACTAAAATATCTTAAGCATTCAGTGCTACAAGCTTTCAGGAGTTTAGATTTAGTTAATTTTCTCTTCTGAAGTAAAATAATCTCAATTATTTTTAAATGTATCTAATTTTGAAGCCTCCCGGTAGACGTACATCTGGATATTTACAAGTTTGTCTTCCTGATATAACTTACCCATTTTAATCCCTAGGCAGATTGAAGTTTTAAGTTTTTAACAATTTAAATTCAGAAAAAGAGATTTTTAAAAGTTAAAGCCACTTCTTGACAAGGCTAATATTTAGATCTGGATTTACCTGAAATACAGTCAGATAGTTATCTAACCATGTCCGGGAGACCGCTGAGCTTTTGGCTTGTATTTCATTATTCATGTATTTATTTTTAGACATATATATAAAGTGCTGAACTAGGGCCATAATGTGGTATTTAACTTTAGCTCAGTGCTTTCACAATTTCTTTGCTGTACTACACCTTCACTATATTTAGGTTTGTTTTGCTAACCTTATTTTAAATTGGCAGGCTGACAAAAAATGTTTCCATTAAAATGAAAATAGACTTCAAGTGTTCACTCCCCTCAAAAAAAAAAACCCAAAAAACAAAAAACTTCATTCATCAGTAATTCCTGTGCCAAGCCTAGTTTATTTTCAGAAGTTTGTACCAGCAGTATTTTATTTTTCTCAATCTCTAACAGAGTTTGAAAGAGATGCCGTGGAAGAGAGCTATTCTGCTACCCGATAGTAATGGTTGTTGATATCAACATCCTTGTCGGATCACAGTGGGATAACTAGCAGCTCAGGTGGAAAAATGTTATCATAATAATCACAATGACTACCCTAGAGCTCCTGAGGGAGGTCAGGATGGCAAATTGGGTCTGCGCCATGCACACTGCAGTCATAGCGAGGTCTCTCCTCGTCTGCATGTTTTGGGAATGCAGTTTGGTCTTCTTGTTCTAGAGAAGCAGGAGTCACTTTCATTCTTGACAGCTTCTGGCCTGCACAGTGACCTTGAGCAAGTCACATGAGATTTCTACAGCACATTCAATACTTCCATACAGAAGTGTGCGGCAGAGTCATCGTGTAAGGCTCATGTGTAACTCTGAGTAAGAGTACCTTGGCACTTTGCCCTGTATGGAGAAGGATTGTGAAAGCACACCTCCTGCCTTCCTGCTCCAACCCCAAACGGCATGCAGAGCAAGAGAAGGAAAAATAAACAAAAAAATTTGCTTATTTCAGAAGTGACATAAAAACCAATTTTCCTTTCTAACACACAGCCACCTCTGTATTCCACTGGCAGCCTGCTCAGTTTGGAGGCAAATGAAAATATACTCGGTGTCCTAGTGTCTTTTCTATGAATCTTAGCTAGGACTATGAAAGCAAAACAAAGACGTTTAAATCTAGGAAGAACTCACAATTTTGTTCTAGTTACAAACATGTCCTGAACATAAAAGTGTTTTAATACTATATCTTTATTGAAGTACCTATTAATTTCCAGGTCCATAGGTAA